CAACCTATCTCGAATAAAGGGTCCTTACCTTACACTCCTAGTGCCAAAAAGGCGAGATATCCTCGAATACTCAATAGAGTAACAATGTAAACAGGAATAAAATCCCCTAAGCAACATCTCCCTACAAAACACATGCGCAATTTTCTGAATGCTTTCAAATCATTAACATAATAAAGACTGACGGGCTCTGGCCGTTGACGTAAATAAACATGGAATATTATTCTACAGCTAAATATATCTGCGTTTATAAGCTTGTGAGGAATATAAACATGAGAATAATCCTCGTTTGGTGTATGCTTACCACGATTATCGTACCACGGGATTTTGACCACTCACTCATCTCTGTTGAAGACATACTCGTATTGTGTTCAAGGCCCATAGACATCACATCACACTGATATGACTCACGCTGTCATATCAGCAATTGGTATCTAACGTTTTTTTAGTAAACTAACTCAAACAATCGGGGAATCCTAAATTGGGGCCGGATGATCATACGTGATTTGTTGCCAGTTATTATTATTATAGTTATTATTATTTTTGTCGTGTTCTTTTTTCCCTACCTATGCTGATAGCCTTGAGAGACTATTTCAGCTTGTCCTTGACGTGTAGGTGAGTTCACGGGGCTCAAACCGGAAGTGTTGCTGACACTGGCCCTAGCAAAAGCAGTACTTCGCAGAATTTACCACCGAATCGGAAACTCGACCCACTGAAAAGATCCGGCGAGAATCTCATTGGGCTGTGTCTATGGATAAATTTACTCGTCGAGCCCTTCATCGCAAGCGACGGGTTCGACGAGGACGGGACCGGTGCTTCAGGTACCTAAAAGCACCGTTAATGGATCGGGAAGATCCGTAATGATGTGGATGTTCTTTCTGAAATACCAAACGTTCGGAAATTATCCTTCAACTGATTCAAATACTGAACACCGATCGAATAATGTTCAAACACATCAAACAGTTTTTTACTTTCGAAACATTTTAATGATATTTAAAATTAGAGCTTTTGTGAGAACAGAGCAACGGCCGACACTACAAGGACGCCAGCAGATGCGACCCATAAATCAAATATGTCGCGGACGCGCGTGTTCTGTGAAAAAAAAACTTCATTCAATCTCGAAGGTTCTTTACAATTCTACAATGTAGTCTCTGTGGCTTGTTGTCATAAGGGAACGTATACTATTTTGTGAAGACAATAGAGGCGATGTTTCTTTATACTGAGTTAGCGTTAATGTTATTTAAGTGTGACAAATCCAGAAGAGTTAAACTGCGGAATGAGCTACTGTCGTGGATGGATACTGCTCAACCTTAGTCAGCCCACTGAGTTTCTCGCCGGATCTTCTCATTGGGTCGCGTTTCCGATCCGGTGGTAGATTCTGCGAGGTATTGCTCTTGCTAGGGCCAGTGTTAGCAACACACCCGGTTTGGGCCCCGTGAGCTCACCTACACGTAGGTTTATAAAAAAAATCAACCTTATAGCGTCATAAATTTCAAGACGAGTAGAGAAAATAGTTCGAGCAGCTCGGCTACTAATCAAGACCATATGAGCCTAGATATCGTTACAAGAAGCTGTTAATCTCTTTGAGGCATAATTCAGCTATGCTCAACGGCATCGGCAGTCCAATGATCCATAATGAAACAGTAGAACAATAACGCTGAAGTGAATGCCTTATCATTGATATTCATTTGAGATATGAAATCATTATATGTTTTCAAAACAACCCGCTCCATTGAATCATGACTAATTGCTTTCTATACGACTTATTACGTTTTATTGGGGAAAAACCAATGAGCTTACGGAATAAGAGTCTGGTTAGAAGAAGTACGAGACATAGTGCCGAGGACATCCTCGGTATGTTCCGAAGTGAACAGTCCANCCTTATCATTGATATTCATTTGAGATATGAAATCATTATATGTTTTCAAAACAACCCGCTCCATTGAATCATGACTAATTGCTTTCTATACGACTTATTACGTTTTATTGGGGAAAAACCAATGAGCTTACGGAATAAGAGTCTGGTTAGAAGAAGTACGAGACATAGTGCCGAGGACATCCTCGGTATGTTCCGAAGTGAACAGTCCAGAACAAATAATGAATTGTAAAGAAACGATTTAGATTTGATATAATGTGTCATTGAGATTTACAGAGAAATTGCCTTTTTCCTAGTCTCCATAACTTAAGTGGGTGTGCAAGCTTTTAAAATTAGAAATATAGTAAATTAGACTTGTCTTTGACACTACCGTCAACTAGACAGTCAGATGAGCTTTTCCAATCATCAGGAAGAATAAAAAAAAATAAAAAAAAATAAAGCATCGTCAAAAACAAAAAGCTTGTACCGTTATAATTCTTGTAAACACTGTCTCGACTGTGTCTGGATCGATAATTGAGTTACAGGTTCTTTTAACATGTGAATGTTTGTATTTTTATTAACTCATGCGGAGGAGCGTCTGCCACACCTACTCTTATATTGATTAGTACCATAGCTACGTAAGAATCTGTATATCTCAGAACTAGCGACCCGCCCTCGCTTCGCTTCGGAAACATTAAAACACACATGAAACAAAAAAAAAAAAATTAAAAAAAATTAAAAAAAGTAGCCTATGTTCATCAGGGACAATGTCGGCTTCTAATGGAAAAATAATTTTTCAAATCGGTCCAGTAGTTTCGGAGCCTATTCGAAACAAACAAACAAACAAATCTTTCCTCTTTATAATATTATTAGTATTAGTATTAGTATTAGTATAGACGAAGTACACATTAGATTATTCTTTTGTTCTACATGGACAGACGTGTACAGGCTACTTCTTATAAATTGGTTTGCGAGAACGTAAACCTTACAACATAAATGCTTCAGCCACCTTGAAACCAGTCTCGATTGCACTAGAGATTTGATGTCCCATTATATAAGCAAGAACGCATTGAGTTTCGCAGCAGAATTATATGGAATAGACAAAGGAATGGTGTTAAAATTCCGGTGTTAGTTTACCTTATAGGTACTATCATTGAATTCCTTCAATAAAACTAAAGATTGCGGTAAAAAGAACTCGTTAAATAATATGGTATAATAGCACTGACGGGAAAACAGATTTTAAGAGGATGGCACAACCTTGAGATCTCAGTTACTAGGGCGATTTTGGCTTAATATATTGCAGCAAAGCGATCAGTTATAAAAGCGAAGCATACGACAACATGAAAAAGGAGGAATAATATGTTGCACGGCATAGTAAAAATAGACTCTAGAGATCCTCGCCCTTGCTCTCGAAGGCCTAAGCCCAACGATGAGTAAGTACATAAGAAGGACGCCAGCTGAACGTCCGTAATTGAATCAGATCCATGCGCTCCGTCGCTAATTTTTTAATTAATTAAGTTTAAAATTACTTATAGGTTTTAGCTTTACGCTATCGGTATTATTTTAAGATTAATTCTGCATTTATTATAAGTACTAGCGACCCGCCCTCGCTTCGATTCGGAAACATTAAAACACACATGAAACCAAAAAAAAAAAAATTTTTTTTAAAAAAAGTAGCCTATGTTCATCAGGGACAATGTCGGCTTCTAATGGAAAAATAATTTTTCAAATCGGTCCAGTAGTTTCGGAGCCTATTCGAAACAAACAAACAAACAAATCTTTCCTCTTTATAATATTAAGTATAGATAAGTTCAAATTGTCAATGACATTGGGTCTTTTTATTACGTAGTCACATTAAGGGAAAATGCCTAGATACATTTTGTTCGCGTGTCGTCGTATGTTATTATAATTTGTGTAATTGATTGATCGAGATTTAATTCTAGGCACATTTATTTTTTCATGATGGCCGCATTGTTTGATTTACGACTACAAAACAATTATCGATTTACAATGAACCGTAACCAATTCAATTCGAACAAGCTGCCAACATTGATCACTCGCGGTTACATTACAAATGTAATCAGCATGTGCAGTGGTTCGTCTGTACAAAGTTATATGATTAAAAAAAACTCAGTAAATGACCACCATTATACTGAGATTATATTTCATCCCATATCATCTCATCTCATTTTATTTAATTTCATCCCAGTTGATTAATGTCTCAAATTAATCGTCTTCATTTCATTTCACTCCATATTATCATTTTTCATAATAATAAGAATATAAAGTAAAATAAGACATGACCTAAAGGTCTTAGTTACCAGGTCATAAAATCCCTTTAAAAAAAATCCGCTAACGCGGGAGGTCGCTGGTTTTATGGTATGAAACTTCCACTTTAATGTTGATTTAATTTGTATTTGATCATCGCTTACTACTGAGACAGCGCTAAATACTAATGTATATTTACTGAACTTACGCCTAGGTACAAGAAGAAAACAAAGTTTATACTACGGATCAACAACCTTTTTTTTTTTTTTTCATACCTAAGCTAATAGCCTTGAGAGGCTACATCAGCGTCGCCTTTACTAGTAGGTGAGCTCACGGGGCTCAAGCCTGATGACGTTGCTAACACGAACCCTAGGAAGAGCCGTGCTTCGCAGAATCTACCACCGGATCGGAAACGCGACCCACTGAGAAGATACGGCGAGAAACTCAGTGGGCTCAACATGCAAATTTGGTATACCTAATTAAGAATTTACTCCAAAAGAAACTACTTCATTTTTTACAAATCAATATTTACATTATTATATAAAAGATTACTATTATTATTATTAAGTATGAATAATCAAGAACCGAAGAAAAAATTAACATTCAAAAAATAATTTAAGCACCACCAAATACCTAATACGAATATAAATATAAACATTAGTTAGTTATGAATGAGAATCGATAATTTTGATAATAAACAAATCAAACATCGATAATCGTGTTAAACGGCGTCCAACACTACACCTTCCATTCACGGAATTCACGACATAAATAAACATTTCAAACCAGTTGGGTTATTAATTTGAAACCCATCTCTGTTTTATTCTGGATTGTTTGTTAAGAAATATTAATTTTTATAAGGTTAATTCACACAACATACCTCGTATTCCTTCACAGAAACTAGTTCGGATAATCAGCTGTTCCGCGTGCACGGGACAAACACGTGCGCACTGTTACACAAATCGAACACTTTTGAGCACTTTTGAGTTACAGAGACGGCAGGCAAGCGAGACACGCGTCGCCGCGCCTCTAACCATAACGCCGCATTTTTGTTTTTTTTTTCTTTCTTTTCTTCTCTCAAAGTCTTCTTTACTATTGTAACGACGACTGCACAAAATGCAGCAACGGTAATGAATGCTTTATCTCACGAAGATAACATTGTTCACAATCCCAGTACTAGCGCAATTACGACTACATACATATCCTTGACGATAACAGTGGAATTTTACTTTGTTTATGTGGTGAAATTAATTCGAAAAGCAGTATAATAGTCTAGGAATATTACTAGTGTCTTCGGGTGATCAAAACGCGTCGATAATCAGGTTTCCAAATCATGTAGGTATGCGGTGTTCAGTTTCTGAAGACACCACGTTTTAAATAAAAATATTTCATATAGCTCGCGTCTTCGCAGTTTATTCAAAAGAAAAAGTGAATTAAAAAAATTAAATTCATGATATTGTAGATACGAATATCTTTACTGCGATTTTTTTTTTTTCTTTAGCATCCAATTTGATTCCATCTACTATTGTACCTACGTCTATTGTTATCGGATTATTGAAACCAGTGTATTCAAATATCGAGCGGCTTTGTTTGCTTAGTGAAACATAAAATTGCAAACAATAATAATCCTTATCTCGCGTAGATACGCGCCGGACGTTATTTCGTAAAAATACGTTAGTTCGCATTCGCTTTGAACGACGAATGCAGTGGAAAATAACCACGGAATGCGCTGCGCGGCGTAACATGATAACAAAGAATCGATTCTTAGAAAGTGTCATACCGCTTCGTGTTTTGCAAAGCGTGCTTAACATGAATTGATACTGTCTTGACATTAAATTAGGCGGGAACTGTATCCATGCAAATACTATTATTCTACAATAATTTGACCTAAATATTCTTCTTCACTGATAATTTTGCGGTTCATATTTTGTTAGTATTATATATATTTGCCTTCTGCACCTAGTTACTCTTTGTGTATTCTAATTCTTTGATGTGATAAGTTTAACGAAAATTGTTTATCTGTCGAAATAAATGACAATATGATTAGGTCATAAAATAAGACTTAAATCTTTAGAAGATACTTTGTTTGGTACTCGTAACTTCTTCTGGAGCTGGTTCTTCGCCCCGAAGAGTTGAAACACAGCTGTACTACTATTTAAAGCATTTGGGTCTGGAGTAGGGTTGCCAGACGTCCCGTATTTGCCGGAAAGTCCCGTATTTTAGGCTTAGTTTAAAATGTATTCGAACCGTCCGATTATAATTGTATTAATTTTTATAAATATGTTAAAACCGATAAAAATGTGTTAATACTGACTTACTTCTCGGAGAAATATAAAAAAGAATGTCCCTATATAATTTTGTTTTTTATTTGTCCCGGGTAAAAAACTAAATTTCCGTATTTTTTTGCTTATTTAAGCATTTGCCATTTATAGGCTGAAAAAAATCTAGCAAGCCTAGTCTGGAGTCCAGTTTTACTAATTAAACAAACAAATAAATAGATTTGGGTTAGTTATAACCTAGCAAGTTTGATTACATACATGTACGCATCGATTTTATGTTAATTATTTTCTTGTTACAAGGATTTCAAAGAATCGTTTGACCTTAGTCCTCTTGAAGCCAGATGTCTATTCCAGGGTAAATTTATCTCAGAAAAGTACGGAACCCAAGTGCCAATCTGCATCAGCAGCTCGACTGACAATATAATATATAAATAAGTATTTTTAACAGTACATAGTGCACAATGTCGCTGAATGCAGAAGGAATGCAATAATAATAGCGTCACAGACCATAATGGTTTTCCTCGTCCGCCTGGGCTGATAATGTTTTACTTATTTTAGTAACCTTCCTTATTCAATTAATATAGGCTAGAAGAAAGGAAATTTATTTTACAAGACCGTACCAGAATTTCAAAAAGTGTTAAATCTCAATTTTAGAATTAACACGTAACAACTTAAAAAAATTTTTGGTTGCAAATGAATCCCGCAAAAAGTACATGTACGTGGTACATAATATCTCGATGACATTTTGCGTAATTACTGGTCATAATTTGCGTAATTACGGGTGTTAGGACGTCTTGTGGGTCTGCACGGGTAGGTAACACGACCCAACCTATTACTGCGCTACGAGAATTTGAATACTAGATCTAATTTTTTATTTATTTAATATTTTATCAGCTTATTAATCACGGTCGCGTTTTTGTATTAAGATAACAATTTCTCTTATCTACGAATGTATTTTTAACAAGATTTATAAAATAGCTCAACCTATATTTATGAAACGATATTTTTATTAACTTCTAAACGTCTGACTGACTTGAAAATGCAACATCAAGGACCGATGATGAAACAATAATTTTATTAATTCGCTCTTTTTTCATCCTATCAATGCAGTTGCTACCACTGACCCTAGCAAGAGCAGTGCTTCGCAGAATCTACCACCGGATCGGAAAGGGGCCCCACTGAGAAGATCCGGCGAGAAACTCAGTGGGCCGTGTCTGTGGGTTAATTCGCTGGTCGAGCCCTTCGTCGCAAGCGACGGGATCGACGAGGACGGTGACCGGTGCTTGTGGTGCCTAAAAGCACCGTTAATGGATCAGGAGGATCCGTAATGACGTGCTTTGGGCGACGTCGACGGCTTACAATTCGGTCTACTGGGTCGGGTATGTAGTTTCCAGCGGCTACGATGAGAGGGTTCTCATGTCGTGCCGCCTTCTCAAAATGGCGCAAATTCGCTCTAATATCCTAATAAAGATCACCAAAGTGAAATAATCATTTCATTTTTGGCTTGTTGTTCGAGCTTGTTTATTTTTATATTTTTGAAACTATCTAACTTATCTATCCTATCTTTATATCTTTCTTTTTTTTCCTGCCTAAGCTGAGAGCCTTGAGAGGCTATATCAGCGTAACCTTAACTAGTAGGTGAGCTCACGGGGCTCAAACCTGACAACGTTGCTAACACGAAGCAAGAGCACCTAGCAAGAGCCGTGCTTCGCAGAATCTACAACCGGATCGGAAACGCGACCCACTGAGAAGATCCGACGAGAAACTCAGTGGGCTGTGTCTGAGGGTCTATATATTTATAACTATCTAACTTATCTATTTATGTATTCAATATCATGTCTGATCTTTTTTTTCTATTTACTGTTTAAACGCTGCTGGCGACCACAGACCTCACAGGAACGCCATCCTTATGACAAGAGTTCGGTGTGCCTAGTGCGAGTTTTTTAACGTTCTCGATAACGTAAAAGTTAACTCAAATTTGTATGGGGTTGAACGTTTGCCTACGTTTGCCGCTAGGGGCGCTGTTACAAATTTGTTACAACTCCATACAAATTTGAGTTAACTTTTACGCTTGCACAAACTCGCACTAAGCACACCGATCTCAAATTGATTTGAAGGAAATATCGACAAAGAACGCGTTTCTTTATTGCAAAAGCCGTTGTCTACGTAGGAGTCATCATAAGCTCAATATCGTCTTTACCATAAGGGCACACGGGGCCCGTACCCAGGGCCCCCATTCTCAGGGGGCCCCGAAAGACCGACAATTTCTCTCACGCGTTTATTCTCAAAACATTTTTGTCGGGCACATTACATTTTTTTCACAAATCAGTAATCAGAAGGTATTTACAAGGCATATACTATGACTATGATAGAAGATTTTGCTCAACAGAAATCCCGAAAGAAACCGTTATCGAAATCGTAACCAAAAAACCAGCTGCATTCTAATATCTTAATGACATATTATATCATACTGTATTTGATTACCTATAATAAATGCTTTCAAACTCAGTAAAAAAATGTTATTATAATTAACTTTTTTTACTTTCCAAAAGCGCCTCAAATTCTTGTGTGCCCAAGGGCCCCATCCTAGTTTAAGACGTCCCTGCATAAGCTATAGTTTGAAGGACAATCACTCATAAGGAAAGACAATAATAATTCAGTAATTGCATTTAATTGTGATTAAATATACACCAACAACATGAATAAATAGTTTAGTAAATATATATTTATATTATCAGAAATATTAAGATCATTATTATACTAGCATTCCTGTATATATCTATGTATTTAATTTACAAATTTATAAGCGTACATATAATTTTGCAATATTCAACTTATCGGAGCTTACGATTTACTAATTCATATGAAACTTGAAAACTATTCGTGAAACTGGTAGTACAAATTTGTCCGAACAAGGCGTTTTAGTTCACTGAGTTTCTTGGAGGGATTTTCTCAGTGGGTCCCGTTTCCGATCCGGTGGTAGATTCAGCGAAGCGATGCTCTTGCCATGGCTAATGTGAGCAACATCACCAGGTTAGAGCCCCGTGAGCTCACCTACTAGCTCGGCGAATCTAGAATAACCCCTTGAGGTTACTAGAATTGGTAGAAAAAAGGTAAGATTTTTTTTTCAGTAAGTTCTTCGGTGTTCTCGGAGCGTGGACGTAATGAAAACTATTTTTACGGTTTAATATCACTACATAGTATAAAACAAAGTCGCTTTCTCTGTCCCTACATCTGTCTGTCCCTATGTATGCTTAAATCTTTAAAACTACGCAACGGATTTTGATGCGGTTTTTTTTAATAGATAGAGTGATTGAAGAGGAAGGTTTATATTATGTACAATAACATCCATTAAATAGTGGAGAAATCAATAATAAATTACAGTTTCCGAAGCGAAGCGAGGGCGGGACGCTAGTTATTTAATATTAAGTGATCCCGGCTTAATTACAGTCAAACAGAATTCCCGACGAATCACGAAAACGAAAATATTCGAAACATCAGAAGTAAGTAATTAAAATCGGAACAAACGCGAGATTTATAAACCGTAAAAGTAGTTCAAACAATATTTTCTTCATTAATTAAACGATAATTGCTTGTTTATATTGTCGTCATACATTGTTTTGTTTTAAATTGAACAAACAGTGACGTAAACAATGAGAACAATATGTATTATCTGTGTTATTGTATTTGTAACAATTAATTGAAACATAAATTAAATATGTGTGAATTTATTTAATTAAAAAATAAATTGAAATGAAAGAGAGATAAGTGTTGTGCAGTGTGACAATAATTCAAAATCAACTTGCTCGCGTATTGTATTGTATTATATTATCGAGTAAACATTTGATATTACATTTAAACATCAATATTTCGTTTAGTTTTGCTAACGAACGAGTTACATACATTATTAACTAATTACTTTATGAAAACAAATAAAAGATGTGTGGTGTTGTGGGACACCGGATAGGAACGAAGTTCCTTATTATAAAAATATTCATTTTAAGTTCTATTCGAGGTATAAAGAAAATAAAACTAAAGGTTTCGCAACAACCCACGGTCATTCGGTAACGTGCGAACTTATTGTGGTACACTTCATTCACGGTTGTTTGCCTAAGAGTACTATAGTGTATTGCGCAAACGAACGCTCTGAGATCGTGGTCAATGAATGATAAAAAAATATGTTATTTTTTGTACGTTATTACAAAGTTAAGTCGTATAGTGTGGGCATTACTAATAAAAATCTTACGTTACGGACGTTTTTCCCTGTTAGGGTACCCTTCCACATCGCCCATAAGGAACTTCGTTCCAAAAAGTGTTTAGCTCTAAATGAAATATTCTAAATTATAATTTTACAATGTACAAAGCGTATTGGAAGAACAAGCCCTTAATTTCTTGCAGACTCTTCTCGGTATTCCGAATCGTTCTTAAAGTTATAACGATTTGATAGTGCAAAAGCCTACTTAGCCTAGAATAAAAAACACCATAAATCGATATCCAGATTTAAAAACTTAAAAAAATTAAAAGCATACGGCCCACCTGATGGTGAGTGGTTACCGTCGCCCATGGACTTCAGCAATGCCAGGGGCAGAGCCAAGCCGCTGCCTACCGCAAATAGACCGTCGTTTCGAGAAATCGTTATTACTTAGCCAAAACCTTATTTGTAGAATCGTCAATCTGATTTACATTGATAGTTCATTGGATCTTAAAATCAAGCTTATTATGTTTAATATCTACTTCTTCTTTCGCTACAATCTTCAACATAAAGCTCTTAGTTCGATTTCTCTTCTAAGAAAACTGACTCGAATTTAATGTATAATACTAATACTTTTAATCAGTACAATAATACCTTTTTTTGGGCGTCAATTTCACACAGCTACTGTACTCAAGTGTACTCGGGTTAATTTCGATTTTCGATTAACCATCGTGAAGGATATTTTTTTCTTAAATTCAATAATCTTGGGCATCAGAACAGAAAGTTAAAATAATCATGGGTGTGGAATATGTCATATTTTAATTTAAACTTTAAGCACATTCTGGTGTTTGTAAAATTGACGGAATGGTGTTTTTAATTGACAAAAGTAGACGTGCCAAAATCGCTAGAGATTCTCTTGTAGCTTAAAACGTCAATATTTAATTTTGTTATACGGCAAGAATTATAAACCGCCATAAGCAGTCTACCTGATAGGCAGTCCTGGCGTTCCTCGTGGAAGAGTACGTCAGACCGTTAAAGATTTCCAAGATGACCTGCAGAATACATTAACAGAGTGGTCCAAGTAGATTTTTTCAAGAAATAAATATGCAAAAAAGACAGTTCCTTTTTTTATATAGTAGTTATTTTTATTTATAGTAGTTTTTGTTCCATTACTCGGAAGAATGTCAATTGCAAAATAAAGGGAACACGTGAAAATTAAAAAGAACCTTGAGACGTCAATGATTGTGGTCGAATTTCGTCTAACGGACCAACTAGTTAAACTAATTGACCGAACAAGAAAAAGCCTTTCCTAGATGAAGTCGAAGAACGCACCTAACTAAAATGTCATTGTCAAAATTTCAAACTTGAAATTAAATCGTATTCTCAATGACACTGGACAAATTCTTAATTTAAAAAAATTGGGGTAAACTCCGCATTTGTCTATGCTTCGCTGAAACTATTCTTGTTGTCGTCGATATTACGTCTCCGTTGATAATAAGTTTGAACCGGCTGTATGAACGAGATGAGTACGCCGGCCGCCATTATCCATCCACCTGACAGATAGAAAGAGAGCTCCCAGGAGTTAGTCAGGTCGAAAATTAAACCTGAAATCAATTATAGTATTGCAATGGTATCAAGTATCAATTTTTATAATTAGAATAATATTAAATTTGTAATTACATTTTCCTAATTTATAACATTTCAATACTACTTTCAGATTATAAATAGTCACGGAGTAATCTGTAATACCAATGTTTTGCCAACAATTGTGTTGGTGCGACGTCGTTTTAGCCTTGAAAGCGAATTCAATATTTTCAATATTTCTGTAGTGAAATAAATCTACGAAACAAAATATTTATGAGATAACGGCTTTTACAGCCAACAGGCCTATGCTATATTGGCCATAAATAAATTGTCATATGAAACTTGGCAGCCTTTCGATGAATTATACAATCTCACCTGACAGTGGAGGTCCAATCAAATGCCCAATACCTTGGGCCAACAGCACCAAACCATAAGCAGATGTAAAGTCATCCAACGAAACCAGTTTGACCAGCAAACTTGGCGTAAAGGTGAACGAGGCCGCGAATAACAGCCCAAACGCACAAGCTATTGCGGCCAACACCCAATAATTGGCTACTGCTGGGGGAATAGCCGCTACCGAAGCACCGCAGAGTACCAAACAAACTGCATATAAATTCCCAATTGACACGTTTGGAAAATCGCCGATCCAGCCGAGGCCAACCTGAAAGTGATGGTATGATAATTTGAATAATTTCCATTGCACATTTGCATCTTGTTCTACAACTCAAGAGTTGTAGAATGTAGTTGTAGAGTTGTAGTTGTAGTGTTGTAGTAGCAGAATGACAGATGGCCCAAGGGCCATCTGTCAGGGGCCTTTTGCCAAAAGTAATTAAATGCATATTTGAGTAGTTCTTAATCCATATTGGATTAAGAACTACTCAAATAAGCTATTTCTACTTTTAGTTTTTGGATTATACAATTATATTGTCGAATAGTCCCCCTTCAATATGTTATAGCTACTAGCCTAGATGCATGGGGGTCCGTGTTTCTTAAATATTCAATAGAAAACTTGCGGTCAGGGGTATTCTAGGCAAGTGAGTTGCGGCGGTCCCAAGGGACCGCTAGTTTTGTTTTGGCAAAGTAATACTATCTACCCACAGGGACCGCTCCAGTCCTTAACCTGTTATTTATACTTTTTTAACAATTTAGACTTTTTTGTCCGCCGGATCCACCAAAACTGTGTTCAAAATTGTAAAATCTGTAAAATAAACACGTAATTGGACTGTGAAATTGTTGTGATCTTGATTATTTCTTGAAATATCTCTGTCTGGTCACGGTCTGAATCCAGGTCTTGGGTACAGAAATAGACGATACCAGATTTTCGATATAACGGCCAAAACTGCAACGTTTCTTGCCAAAAACACATGATATTTGCATATTCACGTGATTTTCGCTAAATTATTTTCGGTTTTTAGGTAACCTCAAAAAACTTTTACGCTGAAGTGTTTTTTTTTGCATTGGCATAAACAATCATGGTGCCTGAAGATTTCGATCCTAATGTAGTCAAACAATTGATGCGAGTCACAGAAACTTTCTCAAGCCTTTTCAGCCATCATCAGTATGGGTAACAATTCCTAAATAGCTTGGTACCGTGTTTCGCTAACTCCAATACAATCGAGGCTACGATCTCTTCGGCTCAGGTAGGTTTAGTTTTTAATGTCTATGATATCTGAGAAACATCAAACTGTGCAGCGCAAAATTGAAGCTAGGTTTCTATTTAAAAACTGGACCGGTTTACTTAAGGTCCCACATGGATCTATACCTCACTAATCAAAAGCAAAGCACCGAAAACATAACAAATAGGTCACTCACCATTCCTATAGTATTCGTGATTCCAATCAAGCTGAGCATCAAAGCGCCATCGTCCTCAGTATAACCTTTAATGGTCATGTGCTCGGCGAGGTAGAAGTAAGGCACGATGAACCAGACAAATATAATAATGGTGCCCAAACAAAGTAAGTTGAATGTGGGACGCTTAAATAGGGACACGTTGAACATATCGGAGACGCAAGAAACGCAGTCTGCGTACCATTTCTGTGAAAAGGACGTTTGATTTTTTTCATCATCATCACCATCAGCCTACAGTCTTCCACTGCCGGGCATAGGTCTCTCCCAAATCCGCACTACTGAGCCCGATCTTCGCTTCTCCTCATCGACCTTCTGCCGGCCACTGTTCGGGGGTCATTCCACCGCCTAGCCAAGAGACGTCCCACGTTACATATTCCGTTGCGCGGTCTCCACTCGACTCGACTTTGGCTTTTTACCTGGCACCAATGCTTGGAGCGGTTCTTGGCCATGCACAAATCTGTCGCGAAAATATCGGATCGCTACGCTAACATTAGATTCAGGCGCTGTTTTCTTGTTTTTCTTTTAGTTTTAATGCCGTTTTTTGCCCATTCCATTGTTAGTACATAGGGATACATTTTAAAATTGTATGTTTATCTGATATTAACACTATTTCTACATGAAGGATAGGGAAGTCGAATTATGCTTTAGTGAGATTTTCACCAGTGTCATGAAGAAAGGCTACTTTTATGATATTTATGGACTCCGGTAAGCAAAAAACACTAGTGAATCAAGTGCTCTTCCCCCCAACCGCTATAAAACAATCCAATCACTACACGTATAAATATCGTAAACTCAAACAAAAAAAATGTGAGTCTCTGCTGTGAGTCTCGACATTACCTCTTCTTTTTCGTTGATTGTGATCATGGAATTCTTGAAGATATCCGGACAAGATGAGGCCTTTAGCTTGTACTTCCTGATATTGAGCATCGCGTTCCTATGGCTTATCGAAGTGATTGGCATCTTCAGGTCTTTTAGGTAATGATGATTGACGGACAACTGCTTCCTCAACCAATCTCTCTTGTTCTCTTTACTGTCTTGTTTAACTAGAACGACATCTTTAGTTTCGGAAACAGTCTTCGCTATTAATCTTTCTGTGAAATAAAAAATAGAGTTTAGTATCTTCTTCATACGGCCCATTCTTCATATTTGAGCCCACAGCCTTGGGTGTATCATTAGGAATTCAATGGAATTTTGAATTAAAATTGATATGTATGCGAATAGATGAAATTTCGAAACATTTATTTACATTCGATCATAGTGGAGTAAAATTATAACTATTTTGCATTCCTATAGTACCAGAACTATCCTAGCCTATCAAAGGTCTCAGAGCAACCCATTTCCACTATTTCTATAGAGACAGCAAGCGCTTGACATATTTCCAGTTTGGTTCATTTCTCAATGAAACACCGAAAATACATCTAAATTATTTGAAACATAATGAAGATATGATTGCGCAAACGAACTATTAACAACAGAAACAAGTATTTGCTTAATAAATCGCTTAAAACGATTATGATAAAGCTTTCTCCTCCTCCTTCAATCGATCGCTCATTGCTGAGCATCATGATGCGCTCGTCTGAAACCTTTTCTTGTGATTTGTAGACACTTATGTCGATCAGTGGCATACTGAAGTGTCACTCAATCTCGTACTCAAGCTGAGCTTTCAGTGATCATTATTTTGCCTTTCTCGCAGTCACCGTGATCATTATTTTGCCTTTCTCGCAGTCACCTGGGGTCGGCGCAACATGTTTTCTCCTTCCATACTCGCTCACTCCCCTCTTACACATATCGTCGCTTTCCATCGCCATTTCGCTCACTCCCCTCTTACACATATCGTCTTTCACGCAATACATCCATTTTTTCTACCTCTTCCTCTAAAGCCTTCCAGATTAATAGCTTAAACTCTCTTAATAACTTAGCTTAGCCTTCAGTAATTTAGAAAAAAATATTTTTAATTAGTGTATTAGCTAGTGGCCCAATAACATGCTTCCCACTTTTGCAGTTAGTTACAAATTGGAAATTAGTAGGTAGCATTTTTATGTCCACACTTCTACTGGCGTTGGAAGGCAAATAAGCTGCAGAAGGCTGAGTAATTGTTGTTGTTCATGGATATCATGTAGCTGCTTACACTACTACCGGCCTAATTAAATAAAAATCAAATTCCTTACCTCGTTTATTATTATCTTGATTCTCTTCAAAAGTATTTTTTCCATGTAATTCACATATATCTGAATATGTCCTTTGCACATTTTTGGGTTCGGCGTACAGTGGATAGTCTTCAATCCTAGCTTCTCTTTTTAGCCGTCTCTTGTTCGAGTTCAATGCAAACTTTGGGTATTTAACTTCGATTTCGTATTCTTTACCGATTGTTTTAATTAAAGTTTCTAGTGCGGATAACGATATCTGCAACATTCAAAATATTTGTCTCGAAGTGTACCACAGCAACTAGGAAGGTTCGGTAACCAGGAGAGGGAGGAGTGAAGGAAACATTAATTCAAGAGTCTGCCCGCCAAAAGGATTTTATTGCATAAAAAAAACGGATTAAACGACAAAGATTCTGCTTAACAATCACGGCTCTATTGTTGAGCACGTAGATGCTAAAATGGCATAAAACGAAAAAGCTTGCGTAGCGGTAGGCAGCGGCTTGGTTCTGCCCCTAGCTTTGCTGAAGTCTATGGGCGACGGTAAGCACTCAACATCAGGTGGGCCGTACGCTCTTCTGACTTCAAGGGCAATAAAAAAAAACACACACATAGGCTTTAAAACGGCACTCATATATTTTCTTTTGATATCCAAACGTACACAACGCACTAATTGTTCAGCAAAATCCCGACATAAAATCCGACATTACGTTATCAGTAAAGCACTATCTATTGTACAAACAACGGTGATCGCGATTTTATTGACGTCAGCAACTATGCCGCTTAATCGACTCTCGTGATTTTGTAAAAACAATTCAATACAAGTCATTAGAAATGCTCGTATCGGGAAAACTAAATATGTGCCTTTTTAAAAACAATCGAAAGGCAACCCTAATGTTTGTCGTTAGTCAAACGCAAAACTCTTCCTTACTGACAACCCTAGCAGCAGTACTTTCGGTAGGCAGTAGCTTGGCTTTGTCCCTGCTTTGCTGAAGACCATGGACGACGGTAACCACTCACCATCAGGTGGGCCGTATGCTCGTCCGCCTACAAGGGCAATAAGTAAAAAAAATCACATTGCGTAGTTTTAATAGTCTAAGAACAGTATAGTGCTAGCCATCATAGAGTAGAATAAATAGCAAAACCCTGAATCGCGCTAACAGCATTTGTAAGATAAGCTTGTCTAAATAAAAGTTCCGAACAACACTCGTTCGGTTGAAGGTCTTTCATAAACAGCAGACATTGAACTCTTTTTCAGTTCAATAACATTTTCTTCACTATTTTTATCCGATTTTTCTTTGGTACCTATTTTGTTATTAGCTTTAGTGTTATTAGTTAGTGTTAGTCGTCGTGGCCTAAAGGATAAGACGTCTGGTGCATTCGTATCTAGCGAAACAAATTAAATCCCGCAGGCCACAGGTACCAATTTTTCTAATGAAAAACGTACATAACAAATGTTCACGATTGACTTCCACGGTGAAGGAATAACAACGTGTAATAAAAATCAAACCCGCAAAATTATAATTTTCGTAATTACTGAATATTATATTGAGTAGTCACGGTCGAGCATCGACCGCTACACACAAACAAAATAATTAAAAAATGCCATCATGCCCAGACGATATCATAATACCATATTTTTATTTTAGATCAATGCCTACAAATAGCGCTGTTTCTGGCCTTGCTGACGTCCATCAGCGACGGTAACCACTCATCATCATGTAGGCCTTAGCTCGGCGCCCTACAGTGGCCCGAAGGCCTGGCCAGCCTGGATGGGCGAGCACGGACTCGGAGTTTGGGATTTCCGAGAAGTGCCCGAACGCTCCCACGCGATATAAGCCTATGCTGTATATGTTACAGTAAAAGTAGATATTGCGGCAAATGGTGTACATTTATTTATTTATTGCTTACATGGTTGGAAGAGCTCACAGCCCACCTGGTGTTAAGTGGTCACTGGAGCCCATAGACATCTACAACGTAAATGCGGCAGGGTGGTAGTACCTACCCTTGCGGACTCACAAGAGGTCCTACCACCAGTAATTACGCAAATTATAATTTTGCGGAATTGATTTTTATTACACGATGTTATTCCTTCACCGTCAAAGTCAATCGTGAACATTTGTTAAGTACGTATTTCATTAGAAAAATTGGTACCACCTGCGGGATTCGAACACCGGTGCATCGCTCAACATGAATGCACTGGACGTCTTATCCTTTAGGCCACGACGACTTCAAATCGATCCATTTTATCCATCTAAGCCCTAAGCAATAAAAAAATCGAACACTAACAATTGTTTTTACCTTATCATTTTGAGTAGAATACGTCGGAAGATCCACCACAGATTTCGACCTTGGTCTACCCGAAGTTTCTGGCAAAAAAACAATTTTCTGTTGCCTTATGGTTTCTGCTTCCTGTCTTATCACAGTCTCTGGGGATACTCCTCGTTTTATCAGTCCCTCCATGAATTTACCTCTCGTTGGAGAATCAGCCTCTTGGCCGTGATGATTCGAAATTGACAAAGTACTGGAGTTTCTCGTACTCTTAATATCTTTCATTCTTTGTCTCTTCTGTTCTATAATCCACCATTCGGGATCACGCATCACACAGCCACAGACGCATAGATTCAGCAGTGTCCCAGAAAGCAGTAATATGGTTCCCCTCCAGCCGTATTCATCAATGAAATATTGGGTCATTGGGGCGTAAACGAATGTTCCCACGCCAGTACCACATGCCCCAAGACCTACAGCTAAATTCCTCTTCTTTTCAAACCAATAAGCGATTGATACGACGGCTGTGACATAAACCAGACCCAATCCAAGTCCAGCGATCACACCAAAAGTAATCATCATCATTTCTAAAGTGTTCGAAATTGATGCCAACACAAAGCCTAATGTCGATATAATTCCACCGAGTATTGTCATGCTTCGACAACCATATCTGTCTACTAAAGCACTCATCACTGGTCCCGACAGTAATGGCACAGCAATGAACAGACTCCCGATCCAGGCGGTCGTTGATTTGCTGGCCTGAAATTCCTCTAAAAATTCTATGTATAGCAAACCAAAGGAGAAGCTGATGCCGTCAGCTATCATGGATATCACGAACGACGAGAAAACGACCACCCAGCCCCATCCTCCGTCTGGAATGGACACTTTATCATCTCCAGCGACCGATCTATCAAAGTCAACGTCTTCATCGGCTGGATTTTCAATTATTTTGACATGATTATTATTATTCCTTTTGATTTTATCGTTCAATTTAAACAGAACCGCTTCTTTGCTGCTAATCTCCAAATCGGGACTAGAGAATGAAGTTGTACCAATGCTGGTCGTGTCTTCTTCTCCTTTACCGAAACCCGAAGTGGATTCTGATAGAAGAGACTCGCGTACGACGTCATTAGTATCTTTGGACCTAGGCGTCCTGCTGCGCTTCAAGACAAGGCCACATTCATTCTCCATCGTTTATGGTAAGCTAAACAAAAGGTTTCTACGATACTTAATATAATGGTCCTTAAGTTCTTAATCTTGGGTCCCTTGCTGAGTACCTAGTGGCTTGATGAGCCACGTTTTGTTTCAATGCGCTCTGGTTGGGTACCATTAAAGTGTATTTCTGGGTGACGTCACCCATGCAGGCTTGGTGGTGTTACGCGGCGTTGCGCCACGTCTCAGTGGTTAGATAATTTGAGTTAATTTAGTCGAGTTCCGTCGCGAACCTGAAATCGTGAAAGAGATAGGTAAATTTCGGTTAGGTTTTTTCTTTTCTGTTAATATTAAGTAAAATAACAAAGATGCAAGTGAATATATTCGGTTTCAGCCAATATTTTAACATCACTATTTCTATACAAAGGTTCGCCTCTCAATGTTTCTTTCCAAAAAATATTTCACTTGGAATTCCGTAAATTCCAAAACTCTAAATTACTGTACTCGATTTTTTAATTAAACTTCCACCAACTCCGACCTTAGATTTTGTCGTGTGTTATGGGAGAACATATTCACGACAAGAACAAAAGCATACCCAACATGCTTGACAAATATACTGACCAGGAATCTATCGCTGTGTTACAGGAGTTAAATTACCAACCACTAGCACAGTCAGCGTATTAGAGTCGCCCATGCGGCTGGCGATAACAGGCATTCCTATTTATTCTCACATTATTAACACAAATTACTATTAACATACTTAAATTATAAAAAAATTAAGTAGTCTATAAAACTACTCATTTGTGTTCTAAATAATTTCATTTATTTAAATACAAAAAAAAAAAAAGTTTTTTATTTATGTTTAGAATAATTATAACCGAACATACTAATTTGTCAACGGCTCCCAAATGTCATAAATAGTTATGTAGCATATTGTTATGAAATACCTGAATTAACACGGTAGTTATACCCTTACGTAACTACAATTGTGACATAAATCTGCTAAATACCTTTAATTTTCATATTTATATTAAATCCCCTGCATCATTAAATTTCAAATTGTAATTAACTTATTTGTCATCACGAATAATGATTTACAAGAATTTTATTTCTAACAATCCTTTCCGTCTTTTAAAGATACTTAAAGCACCGAATAACATCAAATTATGAGAATATATTTTAAATTCTGATTAGATGTGAATGTTGAAATTGTGCGTATGTACAATATTTTTTTGTAAATATTACTTACCTACGGCACGCCGAAGAGCCTTGTGTCGCCAGTACGCAGCTTACGATGCTCAGCTACTCATGGACATTCGATCGATATGACAGGGTTGTAGCATCGCAGCCAGTCTTACCTTAATAACACACACAGAACTAAATGTGCCCCGCTGTTACACTCGCGATAAATTTGCATTTACTTCTGTGTTTTTTTTTTATTGCTTAGAGGGGTAGACGAACTCACAGTCCACCTGGTGTTAAGTGGTTACTGGAGCCCATAGACATCTACAACGTAAATGCGCCACCCACCTTGAGATATAAGTTCTAAGGTCTCAAGTATAGTTACAACGGCTGCCCCACCCTTTAAACCGAAACGCATCACTGCTTCACGGGAAAAATAGGCATGGTGCTGGTGGTACCTACCCGCGCGGACTCACAAGAGGTCCTACCACCAGTAAAAAATCCATTAGTAGGTAGCTCAAGTTAGCTAGAAATAAAATCTTGAACTCTAACTTTAGTAAATTCGAAGTTTATTATTCTGTTGTTTCTTCTATTTATAATAATAACAGTAAGAGAAATTAGTTTTATAATATTATACATCCTAAGTCTTCTAAAAATAAAAAAATAAAACAATAACCGGTTCGATATAGTTTTTGCATGAAGCCATATTGAATTAGTTAGTAGTAATTAGTAGTAGTTATTTGATATTTTTTACTAAATTATTTCTGAAACCAAAGTAACAAATTTTGTTCAAAGCTCCTTTTGTCAAAAAGTTCACTTTTACTTCATAAATATTTGCTAAGCGTAAACAAAAAGGCATAATGCTAAAAAACTCGAATAAATTGTAACATTAATAAAAAATATTAAATTTCATAAATTTTTGTGATAAAGACATTTCAACGCATAGAATTTAAATGTACACGTCATTTCAGTTTATTTAAATTATGAAATTTATCATGATGTTAATCTATTCATCCTTACTGTAAATATCTATAAAGTCCAATTTATCTTTTTAATCTAAAATATTTGTTCATTAGCATTAAAACAAACTCGCCTATCGAAAAACTCTCCCGTTTATTCATAACATTATTGTATTTACTTAACATTATCGACTTAAAATATTATGTTCATTCATAGTTAAATGTGAGCAAAGCTATGCCTCTCATTTTGGAAGACCTTTATGGGAGCACGAGATGTCAGGTTGTGTAAATTAATTTTGTTAATTTAGGTACTGTTTTTTCAGGTTTAAACGTATACAAGATTGTTTTTTTTATCAAAAAAATTTCGCACATGACTTTTTGAGTGCTTTCAAAGAGTCATAACAACTGTAAGAAGCCGTTTCCACTATTATACTGAGCGATTATTTCAGTTCATCTCATCTCACCTCATTTAATTACATCTAATTTAAATACATTCTATTATCAATTTCATATTAATAAACAATTAATTTGACCTTTAATATTAAAAACCTATTTTTAAGTAAGTGAAGTTTTGGCTTAAAGGACTAGAATCCAGGATGTTACATATAATTATAAACTTTCGAAACAAGTTTTATTCGACTTAAAATTTTATATAAACTAATTTTTATTTTTCATAACTAAAAACTTTTAGCTTTTCGATTAGCTCTTTTATTGTTGTAACTTTTTTTATATTAGATATATTTGATGACATGAGCCAATTTTCCTTCAAAGAATAATTTTGTGAATTATGTACTATTTCTTGTTTCCGAACGAAAACGTTTCAATGTTGTCAGCCTAAAAAATAATGTACAAAATTCAAGTATATTGCTCCGTGTTTTATCCTATCTTGGTGAATTGGGCATATTTTCATAATAAAAGATGTTGATCATGCTTTATAAAATCAATTATATATGAAAACAAAAAAATAGAAACTGTAGATCCTTATAATTGACACAATAGTTAATCAACGAAACTACTGAGATCTTGGATGGTAGTAATTTAAAATTAGCATTGGCAGCACCTACACGTTCTTTTTCTCTTGTTTTAGCAGAGACACGTGCGTGTAGACGCCGAATTATTGAAAATAATTCAAAATGAGTGAAGGAACAGCGACTATTCGCACTCGCAAATTCATGACCAACAGGTAAATGCATAGAATAATATGTTTTACATAGTTATGTACTAAGTATTCTCGGGAAAAGTTGTTGACGAATCACGACAGGTTATGTGTGACAATGGTTTCATGGTTTTTTGTAGATTGTTGGCGCGCAAGCAGATGGTTTGCGATGTCTTACATCCAGGAAAACCAACCGTCAGCAAGACCGAGATCCGTGAGAAGCTCGCCAAAATGTACAAGGTTACTCCCGATGTAGTGTTCGTATTCGGTTTCAAGACAAACTTCGGAGGTGGCAAGTCAACTNAATCACGACAGGTTATGTGTGACAATGGTTTCATGGTTTTTTGTAGATTGTTGGCGCGCAAGCAGATGGTTTGCGATGTCTTACATCCAGGAAAACCAACCGTCAGCAAGACCGAGATCCGTGAGAAGCTCGCCAAAATGTACAAGGTTACTCCCGATGTAGTGTTCGTATTCGGTTTCAAGACAAACTTCGGAGGTGGCAAGTCAACTGGATTCGCTTTGATCTACGACACACTCGATCTGGCCAAGAAGTTCGAGCCCAAGCACAGGTTAGCCCGCCACGGCCTGTACGAGAAGAAGAGGCCCACGCGCAAACAGCGTAAAGAACGTAAGAACAGAATGAAGAAGGTCCGCGGTACCAAGAAATCTAAAGTAGGTGCGGCCTCCAAGAAGTGATGTGAATGCTAGGTATAAGTGAATAAAACACAAAAAAATCAAATATTGTTTTTGTGCTATACCTTTTCATGCTCATAAAGGACTTTTCATAAGTTCCTGTACTTTTTTTGCATTGCAACTATAATCTTAGGTACACACCTTCTCTGGTAGTGTTATTTTTTGTTAATTTTCTCAATCACCAAAACTTTTATTTTCACACAATATTTAAGAAAATCCAAAAGCATAATTTTGAAATTTGATAATCGCTCACAATTTTTGAGTTTTCTCTAAGAACAAAGTATGAAGATTATTTCCAATATGAATTTAATCATAATGATTTTGTGTTATTTGATAAATTTGCTGTCATTTTAAATTATAGTGTTTACTAGAATGACTTCCTCACCACTCGTTGATTATAACGAAGAGTTCAACGAGCAAACTAACCCATAGACAGCTGCTGAATTTCTGTTTGATCTTCTCAGTGGGTTGTTATTCTGATCTGGTGGTAGATTCTGTGAATAACTGCTCTTGCTAGGGCTAGTGTTAGCAAATTCTCTCAGGATGAGACCCTTAGGCTACCAGTGAATAGGTAGGGAATAAAAAAGAAAAAACACTCATACACCTTCAGTTTTTTTTTTTTAATTTATTGATGCACAAAACAAGTTACAATCATTACAGTACATATTAGCTAAATCATACAAGTAGTACCTAGATCTAATCTGGATTGCAATCTAAATAGTATGTGCACTCGGCAAAACCAAATTAATGTGCATAGCTTTGGCTATTGAAAACACAATTGGAATTACAAATATTGATAACTAGCCATTGTTAAATAGGATATCCTTGACACATTTGACAAATCCCCTGAGTCTAGGTTCAAAGATATCAAGGTTACTGTGACATTCTTACCATAGGGTTATAGTATGATATATTATTTTTATATGTCCGTAACGCAAAGGGGTTTACCAAATGCGAATTTTGGGCTCTGAAGTGGGTGTTGATAGAAATATTCGATAGCAGTTCCATGGAATCTATATGGGAGTGTAAAATTTTGTACAAAAATATTAAATCAAAATACCTATGGCTAGCTTCCAAAGATTGGACATGGAAATGAACAAGTCTGGATTCATAATTTATATCTGAACGACCTGGCTGCAGACAATAGGCTAATATTCTTAGGAACTTCTTCTGCACCCTTTCGATATTGTCACTGTAGACTCTGGAGTACGGAGACCATACCTGACTTCCATACTCCAAACAACACATTCCTCACGGTAGTAAAAAACAGATAAAGGGCACTTTGCGGCTTCTTAAAGCCCTTGGTTGATCTAATCACAAATCCCAGAAGCTGCTTAGCTAGCTTTTTTTTCCTAAAGTGCTGTTTTGTGTATACTGTTCTTTTTCAAGATTCATTATCTTTGAAATACGCAATGGTGTAGGCTGTGATAGTTACCCACGCTTAGCCATTTATATCTCCGGTAGGCTGGTAGCTGCCCAGCCAGTTTAATAAATTAAATTGCACACTAATAACCTGGAAGTTATGCCTATATTATGGCCATCTGTAGCATGGGATAACCAGTAGTAAATCAACGAAATTAGATTCGAAACCTATTTGAACCAGCCATTATCGTATCACGGCTGTTTCGGTCGCTACCTGCACCTCGTCACCCGAAGGGAGCCGACGCCGAAGTGCCATCACTGCAATGGCTGCAACGAGGACACGGCGGAGCACACGCTCGCGTAGTATAGCTACTACGCGTACTACGACTTGTCGCTTCCGACCGTTCGTGGCTACGATGCTCGGCAGCGACGGGTCCTGGCAGGTGATGCTCGACTTCTACGAGTCCACCACCTCGTGGAAGGAGGCGGCGGCACGGGAGAGGGAGATCGGACGTCGGGTGTAAGAGTGCAAGGGTGTCGTTTCGTGTGGTAGGTAGGGGCCTAAAACTCCTTCGGCCCGCGGTCTACTCCCAACATCAGCAGATCGCCAAGTCGCTCATACCCCGCGCGCCCACTTGCGGGCACATCACCTATGTGATGAATGACAAATCAAGATTGCATTAAGAAAGAAAACACAAATTGCTCTAATACATTTATTGTACTATTCTTTTCATGAATACCGAAGTAACTTTTGCATTTGCGAAAACTAATTTCAAATAGTTCCTCACTGAAATAAATTTGTTTTTACTTTAATCAGATTTAGTTCAAGTTACATTATCTTGCTGCTGTTTTAGATATGTTGGCATTTTTCCTGCTCGTATTTTTGGACGATTGTGAACTCTTCTTTCATGGCGACAGAGTAGCTTTCTGAAATACAAAAATACACATACTAGTCATTGACTAATTACTACTACAAAAGACCTTATGATTTCACTGGCTTTACAACAACAGTTACTAAATGCTATAAATGCTATTTTCCAATTTAAGACTTTCTAATCTAAGTGCATGTATATACTGGCATGTTGGTATCTATTACTGCAGGTTGACAATGTGACCTGAGTATTTTTAAGTTATTGCATAGCTTTTATCGCGGGCCTTGAGCGCGGCGACCGAATCATGAAATTCCGTAACGAAAAAAACCTAAAACCCCTCACTCCGCCTACCATGTAGCTCGCGTTCAACACATTCACACGTTGTGCTTGTGTAGTGTTTGTGAATAAGCGCGTGGCGTGACGTCACTGCATGCGCATCATGAAAAGTCTGCCCATCTCTCTCTCGCGCGGTTTTGCTTATGAGTGTAAAGGGAACAGTTAATGTTTTGCTTTTATTAATGTTTAATATAGCGTAGTCTCGTTTTATTATTGTTTCAATATTAAATTATCATTGTCAAATTATAATTGCATAAGTTGATAAAAAATCCCGCGCCAGTTCCCGAGTGCCACACGTTTTTTTTAGTTTACATTCATAGCATCATATTTTAATGAATTCTTTTAAATTAGGATCTCTTACCGGGTAGCAAAGGCCTTTCCGCATGTGTTGCAGACATGAGGTTTAGCTGTACTGTGTAGGGCTGCCAAGTGATTCTGTAGACTCTGCAATTAATAGAATAAAATCGAAACTAAAATTTTCATTACAAACTTTTTCCGTGCTGTAATTAATTTATTTAAAAAAAATATAAAAATAGTATTTAGACTATGTTTATGTGTATAGGTAGTAATACTGTATACTACCTATAAACACAAACATATATATTGTAATATTTTTAAACTAAACACTAGTGTAGCTTGATTTTGGTCTTGTTCTAAAATGTAATTCTAATTTGCTCTTAAAACGCTCTGTACAGATGTAATGTACTATACTGTAAAATTATTTTCTGTTTGTGACAAATAGTACAGGGTGCTATTTATAGCTAGATGTTCAATAATTTGCTTGAATTTAATTTGAATTATGCGAACAATAAACATTTAATATTTTTTTGGCTATTCGTCATGGTTTTAAATCATTCAGGTGTGATTACGTTATAACTGTATGCCTTTAACAGGGCGCCCGTGAAAAGGTAAAGAAATAGACTAACGCCTTAATTTCAATGCACCAATACGTACATATCTTATTATAGTACTGGTTTTCTGTATACACCAATGAGCGCACACATAGGAGATCAACAGCTGTTTTTTTTTTCGACCTATTCTAATAATCTCGAGGGATTATACTACACTCACAGATATAGTAGGTGAGCTCACGGGGCTCAAGCCCGACGATGAGGACCAACCTCCTTGAACCTGAAGGGCTTCGTACACGTAGGACAGTGGTAGCGCGGCGGCTGATGCCTCCGTCGATGGGAGGCGAGGTTGGCAGCGCTGCGGAAGGTGCGTGCGCACCGCGGGCACGCGTGCGGGCGGGCGCGCGTGTGCGTGCGCTCGTGCGTGCGCAGCGCGTACAGCGTGCGGCCCCGATACGAACACGACGCGCATGCGTGTTGTAGCACGTCACTGTGTATTGACCTGTTTCAATTATTACATTATTTTAAACTAATTTGACATTCAATTGAGCTATAAGGGTAGCAGAAAGATACAAAGACCGGTACCAATAAGTAATAAACCAGTCATTCGCTCCTCATAAACATTTAGGTATAAACATAAAGAAATTTATTTTAATAAATAACTAAAAAACGACATTTCTATTCTACTATAGCCCCACATGGCCCTGGAGAGTTCATCTATACTACAAGAAAGTATTGCTCTAATTGCAACGCGTTTTAAGATAAGTTTAATTTTTAGCACGTATCCTCCGGCTCGGAGATTCAAATAAATATTTTGAGAAGAGCTTACATTAAGATTACCTTGCTGCTGCATTGATGGTGTCGATGAGCGACGTTAACCATTTACCACCAGATCTAGACCAGAAATTAAGAAATGGTGATACTAATACTTGATAGATGTAACACGCTTTACCTGTGTCTGTTTAGTCTGGCCATCGACTTCATTTCGACACCACATATTTCGCAAACATATTTCTTGTCTTTCGAACAACTTTCATCTTTCTTGTGTACAGCTAGATCATTCTGAAAGTAAACGTTTATTAAAAATACGAAAATTATGATTTTATATTCTCTTTATGCATTTTAGTGAGATCACAAGTTTCCTAAGCTTTTTTTATTGCTTTATTCTTGCATATTGCTTTATTATTAAGTGTAAGCCCATTTTAATATAGCTCACTTGAGACATGAGTTCTACTAAGCCAGTATTGTATAGTATATAACAGCTTTCTTGCCTTTCAGTGTTAGCAAGTTCTCTCAGGTTGGGCCCCCTGAGCTCACATACCAGTCTGAGTGTATCTGGAATATCCCTGTAGTCTACCAGAAATTAGGAAAAAAAATTTTTTGGTCGGAATAATTAGGTTAATGGTATCTGCTCATATGAGTATTGCCATCAATAAAAATAAGGACAAGGCAAGATGAAATTAGGCAGGAGAATGTAAGCAAAGAGTTATTAATGTGTTAAAGAATTGCAGTAGCATAACCTAAAGGTGGTCACCGTGGTTAGCGTGGTACGGACATGTGATGCCGAAGAAGACATGGATGGAGTGTGTTAATGACGATATGTGAGAAAGAGGAGTGAGTGTTGAGATGACGGCTGATAGAAAAGAATGGAAGAGATAAATTAGCTGTGCCGACCCCATCTAAGCGGTAGTAGGACCTCTTGTGAGTCGAATCCGCCTGGGTAGGTACCACCACCCTGCCTATTTCAGCCGTGAAGCAGTAATGCTTTTCGGTTTGAAGGGCAGGGCAGCCGATGTAACTATACTGAGACCTTAGAACTGATATCTCAAGGTGGGTGGGGCATTTACGTTATAGATGTCTACGGGCTCCAGTAACCACTTAACACCAGGTGGGCTGTGAGCTCGTCCACCCATCTAAGCAATAAAAAAAAACTTAGTGGGATAAGGTAGAGAAAAAGAAGAACCTAGAGGTGGTCAAAGTGGCTAATATTGTCCAGTGAATAACTTTGACTGATATCATTGGTTGGTATTCTCTTACATACCTCATTTTCAAAGTTCCTTGCACACCTTTTACAAGTCCACAATAATGTAGGAGCTGAATTAAGATTCTCATTGCGTTCAATTTCAATTGATTGTAAATCACCATTACCTTTTTGCTGTGATAATGCATTTGACACTAAAAACAATAGCATCCTTATAGCAACATCTATGGGTACAATGAGTTTGCTGCGATTGTTTCTCTTAAGAGTTTACTAAATTCCAGAAAGGCTCCTTTTTATAAATATCATTTAAGATTAACTGATTTTATTAAGCATTTCTATAATATTTAAATAGCAATTTTTAGTATATTATTCATTAGAACTAAGTTCCACATTAAATTTTATTATATTAAGAAGGTATTCATGTCAGCTACTTGGTAAAACTCAAGTATATATATATTATACATTTTATTTTATACTGTCTTAGATATAGAGTTAGTAGTTAGACAGTATTTCTGCATGCCAAAACAGGTAGTATATTAAACTACAAACATACTAATTGAGAAAATAAGGCATATTACTCATTTCAAGTTCCAATACCCTATGTGTGGCTTTGGCTGTCTTTTTCAATTCTTCCATGTCATGGAAAATCTTCTCACAGTTGCTACAAATGTGATCAGGCCTCCCATCATTCTGTGCTACCTGGAAAAAAATTATCTTGATTTTATTTTTCAAATTATTTATGATACAATTGATTTGGCCAAGAACAATAAACTACTTCAGTGAATTCATGATATTGTTTATTGTATATATGTGTTACCAAGCTGACAGTTGTTATAGTTTTTCTATTATAGTGTAGTCTTTATATCGGAGCAGAGTTCATCCATATTATCTGGAACCTTTGCTTTCAGGGCCAGTGCATTTCCATCCGGCTATGGAATGAGCTCCCTCCACGGTGTTTCCCGAGCGCTATGACCTGTCCTTCTTCAAACGAGGCTTGTGGAGAGTATTAAGCCGTAGGCAGCTGGCTCTGCCCCTGGCATTGCTGAAGTCCATGGGTGACAGTAACCACTCACCATCAGGTGGGCCGTATGCTCGTCTGACTACAAGGGCAATAAAAAAAAAAGTTATGAAATATATCAGCATAGTTTTGTCTGATAATATTAAAAGGGATCTTACCTCTATTCCTAGAACAAATTTAATATAGTACATGATATCAAAAGTAAAGTTATTGCTGTATAAACTCTTTTCAGCTGAGTTAAGACACAGTCTACAGAGATGGCTTTCTACATCCAAATTTTCTTCTATTATGATTCTAAAAAAAAAATATTATTGATACATTATATTAATAACCAATTAGTTTATAACGCTATACAATTTTACAGTAGTTCTGTACCACGGTTTTGTAAAATTTAACTACATATTACTTACTTGAATTTTTTTTTCCTTGAGTTTTTCTTTAAGGTTTCATTTTTTCTGGACATCGCTATTTCATTCTTTGGTGATTGCGTCCGCATATTTTTTTCTGATAAAACTTTGTCTAACAAAGAAGTAATTCTAGTTAGTTTGTATAGAAATGATAACAAAAAAGTTTAATAGCCGTTATTGTCTTTTAGCTAAATTTTTATTAAATAGCAATTGAGTAGCAGAGCAGATTATTATCCGAAACTAAAACCATTTTTGAATAGTCGCCTGGCGGAAGGTAAACTGGCGAAATTCGAGAAATGGTTAACAATACTTTTTATTGCTTCTTTCACTCCACAATAATAGTATGTTTATTAATTACTTATGTTTCGCTCTTAATACTCAGTGCCTATTGTTATTGCGCCCTTATAACTTTATTTTGAACAACAATTAGCTTAATAAGTGGGTACCTAAAGTAATAATACCTAGAAAAACTTACCGTGTAATACATACAGATTTTAGTTTTATAGAAAATTCACTGAAATCGGGGTTTTGCCCGTTTTGCCGCTTGCGTTTTTACTTTTTTTTTTGTTAAGGGGTTTTATGACCTGGTAACTAAGACATTTAGGTCATGTCTTAATTATGTTCTTTATTATGAAAAATGATAATCTGGAGTGAAATGAAAGGAAATGAAGATGATTAATTTGAGACATTAATCAACTGGGATGAAATTTAATGAAATGAGATGAGATGATATGAAAATACAATATAAATATAATCTCAGTAAAATGGTGGTCATTCATTGAGATTTTTTCAGTGGACTTTTTGGAGGNCATTTTGATCCTGATATAGCATTATATACATCAACAACTACCTTAAAATTGCTCATAAAGTTGGAATTTGTCCCTAATCGCCCCATTTTACGTAGTAAAAAGCCCAAGTAGTCAGATTTTTTGACATCTGTCAAACTTTTTTTTAAATTATGGAGGGTAAAGACAAAGAAAGGAAAGGTATTCCTCCGAACGTTTTTTTTTTTTTTTATCGCTTAGATGGGTGGACGAGCTCACAGCCCACCTGGTGTTAAGTGGTTACTGGAGCCCATAGACATTTACAACGTAAATGCGCCACCCACCTTGAGATATAAGTTCTAAGGTCTCAGTGTAGTTACAACGGCTGCCCTAACCTTCAAACCGAAACGCATTACTGCTTCACGGCAGAAATAGGCAGGGTGGTGGTACCTACCCGTGCGGACTCACAAGAGGTCTTACCACCAGTAATTACGCAAATTATAATTTTGCGGGTTTCATTTCTATTACACGATGTTATTCCTTCACCGTGGAAGTCAATCGCGAACATTTTGTTCGATATACTGAATGTTTTTTTTTTAGGAAGGAAGGATTATTCATTGCCCTTGTGGCAATTCCTGGACGTATCGACAGTTAGTGGGTTGATACCTGAATATAACCCGCTACACCCTGATGCCTATAAGGTTTCACCAGGACAGGTGAGCGAGCACGGATTCAGCTGGGGGTCCGAATGTTATTGTTCGGAACTTGTATAAATGAAAGTATATTTTGAATATATCGTTAACGCAATGCAGACATCTATCAAATATCTTCTGTTGGCTGTTCTACGCGGGGTCCCATTCGGGGTACGTGAAAATTATATTACTAATGGCGAAAGTAATGAAAGTTCAAACAGTTAAATTATGTAAACACTACTATGTGATCATGTCTACAAAATGTAGTGTAAAATGTACCTTAATTTCTTTTTTTTCCTACCTATGCTGATAGCCTTGAGAGGCTGTTTCAGCTTCACTTTAACGTGTAGGTGAGCTCACGGGGCTCAAACCGGAAGTGTTGCTAACATTGGCCCTAGCAAGAGCAGTGCTTCGCAGAATCTAACACCGGATTGGAAACACGACCCACTGAGAAGATCCGGCGAGAAGCTCAGTGGGCTGTGTCTATGGGCTGTACCTTAATAGAAGGCGACCGATCGATACTACCTATAAATAAAGCTTTATCGAGGAGTACGAGAACTACAGAAGGTTGGGAAGTGCTGCTTTGGATGCCCTAACAGTCCAGTTAGTACTAACTATATACATCAGCAAGTGAAAGTCGCCGCTTACTTTGTAACATAAGTTCGAAGTTATATTTGTGGTAGGGCGTCTTGTGTGCCTGAACGGGTAGGAACCACTGCCCTACCTATTTATGCCGTGAAGCAGTAATGCGTTTCGGTTTAAAAGGTAGGGCAGATATTGTACTGTAAAAACTGAGACTTAGAACTCATTTGTCAAGGTGAGTAGTTTTTTCGTATTCAAATTAGCTTTTAATTGAAGCAATTTGAAGAACGTAGTATAAAAAAAAAACTTAATCACTGAGAGTAATTGAGCACCACACAAGTTCTAAAGAACTTACAAATGATTTGATTTTATAAATAACTAGCTGTACCCGTCCGCTTCGCTGGGCATTTAAAATTAACATTATTATTTATTGTCACTATTATTAGGGAGTCCAACACTCATATAAATATTAGCCAATCCATTAAGTACATTTTAACACTACAAGTCCGACTGGCGGGCTTTTGTGAGTTTTCGTGAGTTCGTTGTTCCGGGCTGTTGGCGAAGATGATATATAAATAATGTTTACACTGATTTGGTATGAGGTTTAATATAAAAAAAGCGACACAATAACTAACAAAATACAAAATGAGTTGAGAATCGTACAGTTACACTAAGACTCGCAATATCNTTAAGCCGGAAGAAACACTAAATAGACAAAATAAAACAAATCACACACTTCACTCCTTGCGTTCCCGCCAAAAAGTCATGCGTTTTGTCTCATTTTCCATTATACTAAATTTACCTACGTTCTTGTTGGAATAATTAGTCAATTGGACAGGCAAAATTAAATCTTTTGTACTAATTTGTACACAAGGCGGTAGCCATTGAATGAAATTGATTACTTATGTAATGAAATTAAACTTCCAAGACTTAGGTGAACCACTAATTGAACATAATGATTTTATTTACATATATATTTTGTCACCATACAGATTTTATGTAACTACATACCTTCAATATTTAATTAATTTAATATAAAATAATAACTTTGTATGATGGCAAACGTTTGGGAACGAGCGCATCGAAAATTTGACTATGTGACCCCCTCCGCCAGGAAAGCTGGATCAGCGCCCTTAGTCCGGCTTTCATTATTTTATAGTTACATACCCCTTCAATGTCAGAGTTGAGCTGCAACAGTTAACCAGTATTGATTGTTCAAACCTGAAGAAACACTAAATAACGAAATAAAAAAAATCACAGACCTTGACGCCTCGCGCTTCTGATTAAAAATCTTCTCCAACATTTTCTGTTTAAGTTTTTTCCAACTAGACCATAGAATAATTATGAATTCGTCTAGTTTCGTTTTTGAAATAATTGGTGGGTGTTGACCGAGACCGTTGTGCAATAGGGTTAAACATAAAGAAATATTAAAGGTAGTCATTTTCATAGCATAGTGCTCCTCTTTCTTTTCCTTTAATGCGAAGCTTCGATATTTATACTATCTATAAATATTTAATACAAATTACGGGATTAATTTACAGTGGAATTGTTTGTAGCTTGCATGGGTAGATTCTATCCACCTGCCTATATACTTTAGCCGCGAAACAATCACGAGTCAGTTGTTGTGACGAGACAACCACTAATTGGCATCGTTTTGAGTTCCACCTCATGTTTCAGATCTGTGTGCTTAGTGCGAGTTTCTTAACGTTTTCGATAGCGTAATATCGGTCACTCACATTCGCAAGAATACGCAAACCCACAAGTGTAGGACGACATTTGCAAATGATTATGCAAAGTTTTAGCTGCATTCGCGGTTTTCCAAGCTGTATCGAAAAAGACACTAAAGCGCGCGAACCGCGATCCTTCGCGTAGTCTCCCACACATTCGTGTGACCAGTTGCGCCCACGATTGCGAACATAGATTATACACTTAATATATTTGAGATTGCGAAGGTAACGGACGTTTCGCCATTTTCATAGTCCGTGACGTCTACTGTGTAGCGTATCTTCTTCATGGATTGGAACAACACTAAGGTGATGGAGTTCATTGAACTCCTGCAAAATGAATCGACCATATGGGACCCTCAAAAGAAATCCCATAACAACAGAATGGCCGTTAATGACGCCTAGGAAAGAAGTAAAAACTCTTTTTCTCTTCAATGTTCTATTGACGAATTAAAAAAGAAGAGAAATTCGTGAGACATTCGTAAACAAGTGTAGGAGGAAACACAAACGGGTTCACAAATTGAATACCGAACCCATTTGCTCAGCCGTTAAGTTTGCGAATGAATGTCTGACGGCCCTTCACATGCGCGCGAACATTCATACAATGTACAAATGTTCGCGCGCATGTGAGTGGCCGGCATAAAAGTTAAGTCAATTTTGTAGGCAGTTGGAACAGCGCCCACAGCGGTAAACGTACGCAAACGATCCCATTCCATACAAATATGAGCTAACTTTTACGCTATCGAGAACGTTAAAAAACTTGCAGTAAGCACACTGTGGCAGTATTCACGTGATATCTACGGCAAGGCCACTACCACTTAACACTACCGGGTTATGAGTTTGTTCCATTAGTACATTAAAAAAACATTAAGTAATTTTCAAAATCTTTATTACGAAAATGGCAGGTAATTATTTAAGTACATAGAGAATTTTCATCTTATAATTAAAATACATTTTATTTCGCTAAATTACAAAAAAATTCAGCCTTGTATTCGAGATTATGAAAAAAGGTTTTTTTTTTAATAACAATTTCAAATTGAATAACATTCGGTTGAGGAGTATTTGGTGTCACTAAATACCCGTATTAAATTAACAACATGGCTAAAAAGCTCATGTGGACGTCATGTTACTGAAGTCTAGAATTTGTGGTCAGAAATGGATTTGAAAAGCAATAATAAAAAATAAAAATATACGGTCCGAATTGAAAACCTCCTCTTGAAATCTGCTAAACTAACTTGGCATGATACCATCGATTTTATTTTTATAAAAAATGTAATAATTGAATGATTTTAATAAGTAAAACAGTCGCGTTATGCTTAGATTTCAAATCATTTACTTCAACTTGAATACCTAACCTGTACCTAACGTTGACACTAAAGACACTGAATGTCAAAGTCAAGCATTGAAAATACGCGCCGATTTCAGAACCGTTTCTGGCTATCCGTTATTCGTTCAGTATGCTTGCATTATTTCCTAACTCAAGGCTCCCAGCACTAGCCCTAGCAAGAGCAGTGCCTCGCAGAATCTACCACCGGATCGGAAACGCGACCCACTAAGAAGATCCGGCGAGAAACTCAGTGGGCGGTGTCTGTGGGTTAATTTGCTCGCCGAGCCTTTCGTCGCAAGCGACGGGTTCGACGAGAACGATGACCGGTGCTTGACGTACCTAAAAGCATCGTTAGTGGAGTGCTTAGTGCGAGTTTTTAACGTACTCGATAGCGTAAAAGTTAGCTCATATTTGTATGGAATGGGATCGTTCGCCTACGTTTGCCGCTAGGGGCGCTGTTCCAACTGCATACAAAATTTGATTAACTTTTACGGTATCGAAAACGTTAAAAAACTCGCACTAAGCACACTGGAGGATCCTAAATGACGTGAGTGTTAAACGTTGGCACTAGGTGACCCTCTCATCAGATGCCAAAAAAATATTCGGACCGCCAGCATGAAACCGCATAACTGCCCCACGGGAAAAATAGGTAGGGTGGTGGTACCTATTCGTGCGGACTAACAACACGGCCTATCGCCACCCACCGTTTAACTTATATAAAATTCTTCATATCAATTTTTCAGATAATTTTGTTATCGGATTGCCTACATGCAACGTTTGACGTCAGTAACACACAGTGTTGTATATCTACGATTATATCATACATCATACACAATTGTACAGCCTAGATCTGAGATATCTAGCTTATTGATTGTCAGAAAGGAGTATTTATCTAGCGAAGGGTGAAAGGCTTTTTGGTTTAAGCAACATTTTTGCAACTTTATAGAAGCGTCATTTAAAGTTTAAAATATGGGAAAAAAATCATAACAAAAAAACTTCTTTACTGGTGGTAGGACCTCTTGAGTCCGCACGGGTAGGTACCACCACCCCGCCTATATCTGCCGTGAAGCAGTGATGCGTTTCGGTTTGAAGGGCGGGGCAGCCGTTGTAGCTACACAGACCTTAGAACTTATATCTCAAGGTGGGTGGCGCATTTACGTTGTAGATGTCCATGGGCTCCAGTAACCACTTAACACTAGGTGGGCTGTGAGCTTGTCCACCCAATTAAGCAATAAAAAAAGCTTCAGCTATTTCAATGGAGCAAACTTAATTGAAGTTCAATAAAAAACATCACACTGTTGATGCTAAGACCAAATAAAATGCACATTTAATTACTAAGATAAATGTCGCGTACTAAGTGAAATGTCGCTTAATTAATTGTAATTGATTGATAAGCGGAATCGCGACGTTTTTTTTTTAATATTTTATTGCTTAGATTGGTGGACGAGCTCACAGTCCTGGTGTTAAGTGGTTACAGGAGCCCGTAGACATCTACGACGTAAATGCCCGACCCACCTTGAGATATCAGTTCTAAGGTCTCAGTATAGTTACAACGGCTACCCCGCCCTTCAAACCGAAACGCATTACTGCTTCACGGCAGAAATAGGCAGGGTGGTGGTACCTACCCGCGCGGACTCACAAGAGGTCCTACTACCAGTAAAGGTACCACGTATGACGTTTATGACGTGGAGCTAGTGTCAGAAAGGAATATTTATACATGATTAATTCGTGCCCAACGTATTCAGAAGAACGAACCCTCAAGAATCTTTATATCCTGGGCATATTTTATGTCATGGCCTATCCTCTATTCCTTAGCTTCAAATACCGCTCGCATCTCCCGGGAATCACAAACTCAACCTCAAAAAACTTTAGGGTTAAGTTCTGGCTTATTCATTGGGTAATTGACTGGGTTCGTACTTATTATGTGCGTAATATAACCTAAATCTAATAGGTGGTCATTATATGCATTTAGCCTTAGCATTACTTACGTAACATACAGTAGTAGTAGTTGTTGAAGATCGAGAAGATCTTCTGTCCCCTTCATTGACTTCATCATTGGATACTCAATTTAGCATAAAACACCTAAGCATTCCATAATTTAAATCACTTTTACGGTTTAAGCTCTTCACGGACGAGTTTTTAAAGTAAAAAAAAAACCAAGAAATTTAATTTTTTTTATTATTGCGATTTGTTCAGTTCATATTGAAATCAATTAATTGAGTTAAAAAAATCCTACCCATATAATTGAGTCGACTATTATCAAAGCCGGCAATCTGACTTTTGGACAATGATTGGTAAATCAGAAAAACGAATTATTGACTTTGTATTCCATTGGCAGTCACAAAACTCTTCGGAACGACATCTTAGATAAATAACAGGTTAACTATTAACCTCAAATATATTAAGTGTATAATCTATGTATTAACCTTTATTTAATGCAGGTTTTGAACCGTATTCTTTGAAGGAGACGATTATATTCAAATCAATCTGTATTGACATATCAATATTTTTTTTTTGTCCAAATGCACAGATTGCCACATTTGATAATAGACGACTCATATGTCAGTGTCTTCGAAGAGGTTAATCCCGCTTCTTATTGTCATTAATTTAATTTCAATGTATAAAATCTGACGCCAATAAAAAACGCGTGCTTAAGCCGTAAAATATGTTTTAATCATATTGTCCACAAGTCGCGATGACCCAACAAAATACTTGTGTATCCCATTCATGAACATAATATATCTTATCTTACACTTTTAAACGAGTAACTCTTGTATATATATATAATCTGAATCTCGGAAACGGCTCCAACGATTTTTATAAAATTTAGTATACAGGGGATTTCGGGGGCGGTAAATCGATCTAGCTACGATTTCTTTTCAGAAAATGTTGTTTTATTCGTGTCTTCAATCGATAATCAACTTCATGACTCTTCCCGACATCTATTGGCGAATAATAATACTATTTTTCATAATTGAGAGCAATTAACTGCTTTAAAGGCACAATAACACTAAAGCTATTTCAGCAGATGGCGTTGTTAAGCCACCCGGAGCCACGATCTTGGATTATCTCATAATTTTATCAATATGTAGTCCGTATTTAAATATAATTTAAAAAAAACACAAATTATCAAAAAAAGAATCGTATAGTTTCTTTTAATCAGTAAAGAATTACAGTTAATTCCGTAACATGTCATGTAATGTTTAGGAAACTTTTTGAGTTTTCAATTAAATACTCGTCGTCCTTAGGATTTAAAAAAAAAAAACGATCCAAAATCGGGTTTGTTTCATAATAAATTGAACATTCCACTTACTTTATGATCACAAACGGCTTTCGTCCGAGCTTAATGAGATGAAAGCCATATTGAGACGCTTAATGTCTTTGTTTTAAAACTTCCTCAATAATCAAATGTCAATTCCTAATTTTAGGAAGGCTATAGCCCGAACGAATCCCCGTAGAGTTTGTATATCGATGGGCAGTATTTGGCGGCAAGTCGAGAATAGAAAGCGTTCTTCCCGACCACCATATTATGCGTGAGCTTGTTCCAAACGTGGTAGACGTATGGGTCATCTACGTTTGGTTGTGTCGCTTTGAAGTAATCTTCTGCGTCCATCCAGCTTATCGGGTAAAAGAGTTTTGGACTGAAGACTTCGAATCCTGAAATGTCGTTGATAAGATACATCAGTGAACAGCATCTAACGTTCTTAGCGTTTTTTTTTTTTTATTGCTTAGATGGGTAAACCAGCTTACGGCCCACTGTAACTAGGTATAGTTATAGTGTCTTTAAGATAGCTCGGTGCGCCTGAAATTTCTTAAGTGATATTCATAGGGTTAGGTTCTTCAGGGCAAGGGGGCGGAGACATTCGCTCCGTGCAAAATGCGTCGCCTTGCCTTGTGGCGCTAGAAACGCGTGCGGTTGCTATTGGATAAGAACATTGTTCCCTGACCCCCTGACCCCACTATCCTAATAAACTGTAAGATTACTAATTCAGAATACACACGCCAACTGGTATCTTAAAAAATAAACATCATTTATTTTAACCAAATACAGTCCTCAAGTCCAAAAGAAGAAAATCAAAAGTCAAGTTTTACTGGTGGTAGGACCTCTTGTGAGTCCGCGCGGGTAGGTACCACCGCCCTGCCTATTTCTGCCGTGAAGCAGTAATGCGTTTCGGTTTGAAGGGTGGGGCAGCCGTTGTAACTATACTGAGATCTTAGAACTTATATCTCAGGGTGGGTGGCGCATTTACGTTGTAGATGTCCACGGGCTCCAGTAACCACTTAACACCAGGTGGGCTGTGAGCTCGTCCACCCATCTAAGCCATAAAAAAAAAGTACGGCATATCTATTGCCACTACAATTAGCCTATCCATTAAGTACATGTATTTTCTACATGGATACCAAGTTTCAAGCCAATCGGAGGGATGGTTCAGTAGTTATAACGGAAAATCCGTAAAAACCACTGTAGATTTATATATTAAGTAGGTACCTATAGAATTATATATGTAAAGCACGTGTTTGTGTAATGTCAATGTTTTTTGGTTTCTTGTTCCTTGAGAATTCTTTTAAATTTTCGAGGTTATCTATTTACTTACATTAGTATACACAACGATAATCTTTATAAAATAATAAACAACAAAAGTTGTATAAAATTGTACTGTTTATCTATATATATATAAAAATGAATTGCTGTTCGTTAATCTCGCTAAAACTCGAAAACGGCTGGACCGATTTGACTAATTTTGGTCTTGAATTATTTGTGGAAGTCCAGAGAATGTTTAAAAGGTAAATAAATATGGTAAATAGATAGGTAAAGGTAAATAAAAATGAACATGCTCGCAAGTAAATAAAAATAACAATTTTGTTTTTCGTTTGATGTGTCCCCCGTCGGACGGATTCCTTTTGTTTGTTTTATTTTATACAAAAGTTTAGGTCTTTTGTTTATCGATTGAGGCACTACGAAGTCTGCCGGGTCAGCTAGTTTCAAAATAAAATTTCTCCTGGGACCCTCTGTTTTTTTTTCTACCTAATCGTTGATAGCTTATGGGGCTAATTCAACTTCGCGAGGACCGGTAGGTGAGCTTACAAGCTTAACCTGAACGAATTGCTATCACTAGCCCTAGCAAGAGCAGTGCGTCGCTGAATCTACCACCGGATCGGAATCGCGACCCACTGAGAAGATCCGACGAGAAACTCAGTTGCTTGTGTCTATGGGCTAGTTTGCACTTCGAACTCTTCGTCGGAGTCGACGAGTCCGACGAAGAGGCACCCTCTAAAGTGGTGAAGCGGTGCAAGGTGGCTCCTGTGCGCCGCTCACGGTGTGTCGCCCGAGACGAGGTTCTACGGGATTTTCCCGGGGATGAAATCCCGTCTTAACATTAGTACGGGTACCGCCTAAGGCGAGACTTACGGCGCGCATCGCGGTACCGTAAGTTTCGTGTAGTCGGTGTGGTGGGGCTCGATGGGGTTTAGTCGGTAGTCGTTCTGCGGGGCAAGTGCTTCGCGCGCCTTTTTCAAGGCGTAGTCTCCTGTGAGAAATTGGGGGAGGTGAAGGACCTCGGCCCTTTTCTTCTCCCCTTCTTCCTCTCAGGAGGCGCCGGAGTCCGACATAACCCGGTCCGTTACCCCCTCGACCGGGTATCCGTAAATGGATTCCCCAGCGTTAAAAAAAAAAAAAAGGCACCCTCTAAAGAGGAAAACAAACTGAAGATTTCGATTTGTCCAAAAAAAAAAACGAAATCGCTTGATACTGTACATACCTTGACATTTTTCGGCCGCCATTTCAGTGACGGACGTTGTTGAACAAATGTCTTTCAGCACCCTCGTGATGACCCCGGGGCCGTTGTTACCCCACACGTCTCCTCGGTAGTTCAGTTCAAAGTCTCTGAAAATAAATTATTCTACTTATCGATATCGATACAATCGGAACCAGTCTTGAAGTCTCTTTGAAGTCGTCGTGGCCTAAAGGATAAGACGTCCGGTGCATTCGTGTTGAACGATGCACCGGTGTTCGAATCCCGCAGGCGGGTACCAATTTTTCTAATGAAATACGTACTCAACAATTGTTCACGGTTGACTTCCACGATGAAGGAATATCATCGTGTAATAAAAATCAAACCCGCAAAATTATAATTTGCGTAATTACTGGTGGTAGGACCTATTGTAAGTCCGCGCGGATAGGTACCACCACCCTGCCTATTTCTGCCGTGAAGCAGTAATGCGTTTCGGTTTGAAGGGCGGGGCAGCCGTTGTAACTATACTTGAGACCTTAGAACTTATTCTCAAGGTGGGTAGTGCATTTACGTTGTAGATGTCTATGGGCTCAAGTAATCACTGAACACCAGGTGGGCTGTGAGCTCGTCCACCCATCTAAGTAATAAAAAAAAAGTCTCTAGGTACAGAAGCTAGGGTCACTAACCCCATAGACCAACGAGGCGCTTGAAACGTAGTTGATTAAGGTCTCCCGCATCCTTGGTCCCACACGTCATTTGATTTTTAGGCACACTTATTCTTTAAGCGTTCTTCTTCATAATATTTTTTTTAAAGATACTTGATATATACAAACTCTTAAGGCGAAACTGTTACTTTAATAAAGTATTTAATATCGATTAATTCAATATCGATTTTTTCCATGCATAAACGACGCTATTATATCATTAATATTCCACGATAATTATTAGCCTTGGCGTGTTGGATTGCACTAGATAGTGGGACACGACTCTATTAGGTATTATTTGTTGAATTTAATGTTTCAGATAGAGTAGTAAAAATCCCAGGTGGTCAGATTTTTTGACATCTGTCAAACTTTTTTTTTAAATTATGGCGGGTAAAGACAAAGAAAGGGAAGGTATTCCACCGAACGGATGAAGTTGATCGATATACTGAATGTGATGGACTGAATGTTTTTTTTTTTTTTGAGGAAGGAAGGATTATTCATTGCCCTGATTGTATGTCCCTGTTTGATTGTCTTTAAGGTTTCATTAGGGGCAGCGAGCACGGACTCAGCTCGGGGTCCGAATGTTATTGTTCAGAACTTGTATAAATGAAAGCATATCTTGAAAATATCGTTAGCGCAATGCAGACATCTATCAAATATCTTCTGTTCGCTGTTCTTCGCGGGGTCCCATTCAGGGTACGTGAAAATTATATTACTAATGGCGAAAGTAATGAAAGTTCAAGTAATGAAAGTTCAAACAGTTTAATTATTTAAGCACTACTATGTGATAAAGTCTACGAAATGTAGTGTAAAATGTACAATATACGTATAAATATGCTGATAACCTTGAAATGCTATTTCAGCTTCACCTTAACGTGTAGGTGAGCTCACAGGGCTGAAACCGGAAGTGTTGCTAACATTGGCCCTAGCAAGAGCAGTGCTTCGCAGAATCTACGACCGGATCGGAAACACGACCCACTGAGAAGATCCGGCGAGAAACTCGGTGGGCTGTGTCTATGGGTTGTACCTTAATAGAAGGCGACCGATCGATACTACTTATAAATAAAGATTTATTGAGGAGTACGAGAACTACTGTAGGTTGGGAAGTACTGCTTTGGATGCCCTAACAGTCCAGTTAGTACTAACTATATACATCAGCAAGTGAAAGTCGCCGCTTACTTTATAAGTTCGAAGTTATACTGGTGATAGAGCATCTTGTGTGTCCGAACGGGTAGGTATCACTGCCCTACCTATTTATGCCGTGAAGTATTAATACGTTTCAATTTAATTTATACGTTTCAATTCAATTTAATTTAAATTTCAATTTACGTTTTAATTTTTTACGTGGTAGAACCTCCTGTAAGTCCGCGCGGGTAGGTACCACCACCCTGCCTATTTCTGCCGTGAAGCAATAATGCGTTTCGGTTTGAAGGGTGGGGCAGCCGTTGTAACTATACTGAGATCTTAGAACTTATATCTCAAGGTGGGTGGCGCATTTACGTTGTAGATGTCCATGGGCTCCAGTAACCACTTTACACCAGGTGGGCTGTGAGCTCGTCCACCCATCTAAGCAATAATAAAAAAAAAGGTAAAAACTAAGACTTAGAACTCATTTGTCAAGGTGAGTAGTTGTATTCAAGCGGTGATTGTTATGGGCTCCGGTGACCACTTAACGTCAGGTGGGCAATGAGCTCATTCAGTCACCCGTCCATGCAATGAACATGTCTTGAGAAGAAACGGAACCTTTATGTTAATATCGTTCGTAAATAAATCTAATCGATTTTATTGTTGTTTTTACAATGTTATTATCACTGCATACAAACACAGTTTTGATCATAATCATTATTATAACCATATATAAGATTATTATAACTAATAATGTTTTGATTCTACCCACAATCGAAATGTGGAACATTCCAATAGGTATTATGAAAAAGGAACAGATCAATAGGGATTCATAACTATGATTCATAAGAATGATCCTACCTTCAAATAAAATATCGTAAAATGTTCAAATTAAAGTATTATAATTATAAATTGTTTTCTGTTTTGTTTTTTTTCGTATTCAAATTAACTTTTAATTGAAACAATTTGAAGAACTTTGTATAAAACAAAACTTAATCACTGACAGTAATCGAGCACCACACAAGTTCTAAAAAACTTACAAATGATTTGATTTTATAAATAACTGGCCGTACTCGCCCGCTTCGCTGGGCATTTGAAATTTACATTATTATTTATTGTTACTATTATTAGGGAGTCCAACACTCATATAAATATTAGACTATCCATTAAGTACATGTATTTTCTACATGGATACCAAGTTTCAAGTCAATCGGATATACGGTTCAGTAGTTATAACGGAACAGCCGTAAAAACCACTGTAGATTTATATATTACTATAGATTTACTATAACTTTATTAACTACAAAGACGAACGAATAACTTACTTGATGGTAGCATTGGCGACCATTCTACCGACATGGTCCCTCGAGAAAGACATGATCCCAGAAGCAACGTTCTCATCGCTCTCCCTCGCTGACCAGTTCTTCGGTAGGGGGTCCAGAGCCTTCGCCACCACCGTATCCAAGTCTAAATACACCCCACCGTACTTATACAAGCTCAGGTAACGGAGTAAATCTGACGCGTGCGATATTCTCCAGCGCGTCCTGTTCAAAGCACCGTTAAACACCATATCCTGTAGCGGCGTTCCTTTAGCGTATTCCCATATCTTCAATCGCCACAATTTTACGTTACGAAATTTTCGAAGTACCGACAAACTGCCTCCTCTTNGCGTCCTGTTCAAAGCACCGTTAAACACCATATCCTGTAGCGGCGTTCCTTTAGCGTATTCCCATATCTTCAATCGCCACAATTTTACGTTACGAAATTTTCGAAGTACCGACAAACTGCCTCCTCTTTGGTATCCTTTAATCGGCGCCGAAATTAAAACGTTGACCTGCCATTTTGGATGAGCTCTGGCCGCTGCTTCGACGGCGCAAGCCTGCCGTGAATCCAGTCCGGACTTGCAAGAGGTCTCGTGGAAGAAAATCGACTTTTCAGGCATCTCCACGCTCGAACTTATCACTGGAAGATCATCGTTCGAATCTTGATAGTGACACGAATTGTCCTCCAACGATTCCCAATGTAAGAAATACAAATCCGGCGCGAAATCTGTATGTAAAATGACTATAGTCACACAAACGAGGCACAATAGCGATATAACATAACAGTTGAAACGCCTTAACACTCGCACTGGATACATTTTAGCTAAATTCACGTGTATTTGATGTCGTTTTTATACGCTAACTAAATATGATAGCGCTCGATGATGAGTATCTGAGTCGGTTTGATAAGTTTCACACTTATCTACCGCTCGCATTGATAGCAGGTGCGTTAGTGTACGGCTTGTGGTCAACTTAAGGATGATTCGAAACGTAAAGTTGGGTGAGAATCATGATACGATAAACATGTGTGCTGGATGTTCAGTACCCTTATCATAAACAATCGATTTGTAGGAAAATTGTGCATTACGAAAACAATTTTAAAGCGTTACGTACAATTGATACTAGACTGTTGTTGAATTAATGTAAATATGTGTTTTTCGAGATGTAAATTGAGTAAATACGAAGATGCGAACATTTTATCCGATTAATATTAATGTTAATAACATGCATAATTTAGAGATTAGATTTTCAATTGGAAGAACAAGTAACGACAAAACTGGAATGGGGTTATACGAAAGTTTGAGAATTACATGAGTAGCACTAACACACTGTCCAGGCGGTTTGCTTTGGAAAATACTTTACTCATACGGTATTTCATCGTTCACGTAAAGCATCATTTGATGCCCTAAAATATATCTTGTGAGGTCTAGAATAGAACTACTTTTGCTTGTACATATAACACGGGTTAGTGCCAGCATCGTTCTTTTTTCTACCGCGTAGCAATTTTACTGGGGGTCGGACCTCTTGTGAGTCCGCACGGGTAGGTACCACCACCTTGACTATTTTTGCCGTGAAGTAGTAATATGTCGTGGCCTAAAGGATAAGACGTCCGGTGAATTCGTATCTAGCGATGCACCGGTGTTCGAATCCGGCAGGCGGGTACCAATTTTTCTAATGAAATACGCACTTAACAAAAGTTCAGGATTGACTTCCATGGTGAAGGGAAAAGCTTCGTGTAATAAAAATCAAACCCGCAAAATTATAATTTGCGTAATTACTGGTGGTAGGACCTCTTGTGAGTCCGCACCGGTACCACCACTCTGCCTATTTCTGCCGTGAAGCAGTAATGCGTTTTGATTTGAAGAGTGGGATAGCCGTTGTACTATACTGAGACCTTAGAGCTTAAATCTCAAGGTGGGTGGCGACATTTACCTTGTAGATGTCATGGGCTCCAGTAACCACTTAACATCAGGTGGGCTGTGAGCTCGTCCAACCATACAA